TTGTGGTGTTCCCTGCCCCTTCCTCCACATCTACCCATCCAAAGTTCATTCTTGGAGCTGTTTGAAAGCAAGCTTTAAAAGGAAAATGGCATTAAAAAAGTAGGAATCCAGGATCTTACCATCCAAAGTTGAAATTGCAGGTTTTTGAAAAGAAGCAACAAAAGGAAAATGGGATGAGAAAAGAAGAAATCCACGATCTTACCATTCAAAGTTCAGTCTTGCAGGTTTTTGAATAGAAAGCCGTGAAAGGAAAAGGAGATGAGAAAAAGTACAGAAAAGTATAGAAAAGTAGGAATCCAAGATCGACCATCCAAAGTTCATTTGTGCTAGTGCTGTGCTAGGACAGTTGGGCAAAACTATAGATAGAATATCCTCTAGAACCATGAAAAGACTGATTTTTTTAAGGATGTTTGGGATTAAGCATGTATTGTGGTGCTCCCTGCCCCTTCCTCCACATCTACCCATCCAAAGTTCATTCTTGGAGCTTTTTGAAAGCAAGCTTTAAAAGGAAAATGGCATTAAAAAATAGGAATCCAAGATCTTACCATCCAAAGTTGAAATTGCAGGTTTTGAAAGAAACCACAAAAGGAAAATGGGATGAGAAAAGAAGGAATCCACGATCTTACCATTTAAAGTTCAGTCTTGCAGGTTTTTGAATAGAAAGCTGTGAAAGGAAAAGGAGATGAGAAAAGTATAGAAAGTAGGAATCCAAGATCGACCATCCAAAGTTCATTCTTGGAGCTGTTTGAAAGCACACTTTAAAAGGAAAATGGCATTAAAAAAGTAGGAATCCAAGATCTTACCATCCAAAGTTGAAATTGCAGGTTTTTGAAAAGAAACCACAAAAGGAAAATGGGATGAGAAAAGAAATAATCCACGATCTTACCATTCAAAGTTCAGTCTTGCAGGTTTTTGAATAGAAAGCCGTGAAAGGAAAAGGAGATGAGAAAAGTACAGAAAAGTAGGAATCCAAGATCGACCATCCAAAGTTCATTTGTGCTAGTACTGTGCTAGGACAGTTGGGCAAAACTATAGATAGAATATCCTCTAGAACCATGAAAAGACTGAATTTTTAAAGGATGTTTGGGATTAAGCATGTATTTGTGGTGCTCCCTGCCCCTTCCTCCACATCTACCCATCCAAAGTTCATTCTTGGAGCTGTTTGAAAGCAAACTTTAAAAGGAAAATGGCATCTAAAAAGTAGGAATCCAAGATCTTACCATCCAAAGTTGAAATTGCAGGTTTTTGAAAAGAAGCAACAAAAAGAAAATGGGATGAGAAAAGAAATAATCCACGATCTTACCATTCAAAGTTCAGTCTTGCAGGTTTTTGAATAGAAAGCTGTGAAAGGAAAAGGAGATGAGAAAAGTATAGAAAAGTAGGAATCCAAGATCGACCATCCAAAGTTCATTTGTGCTAGTACTGTGCTAGGACAGTTGGGCAAAACTATAGATAGAATATCCTCTAGAACCATGAAAAGACTGATTTTTTTAAGGATGTTTGGGATTAAGCATGTATTTGTGGTGCTCCCTGCCCCTTCCTCCACATCTACCCATCCAAAGTTCATTCTTGGAGCTGTTTGAAAGCACACTTTAAAAGGAAAATGGCATTAAAAAAATAGGAATCCAAGATCTTACCATCCAAAGTTGAAATTGCAGGTTTTGAAAAGAAACCACAAAAGGAAAATGGGATGAGAAAAGAAGGAATCCACGATCTTACCATTTAAAGATCAGTCTTGCAGGTTTTTGAATAGAAAGCTGTGAAAGGAAAAGGAGATGAGAAAAGTATAGAAAGTAGGAATCCAAGATCGACCATCCAAAGTTCATTTTTGCTAGTGCTGTGCTAGGACAGTTGGGCAAAACTATAGATAGAATATCCTCTAGAACCATGAAAAGACTGAATTTTTAAAGGATGCTTGGAGTTGAGCATGTATTTGTGGTGTTCCCTGCCCCTTCCTCCACATCTACCCATCCAAAGTTCATTCTTGGAGCTGTTTGAAAGCACACTTTAAAAGGAAAATGGCATTAAAAAAGTAGGAATCCAAGATCTTACCATCCAAAGTTGAAATTGCAGGTTTTTGAAAAGAAACCACAAAAGGAAAATGGGATGAGAAAAGAAATAATCCACGATCTTACCATTCAAAGTTCAGTCTTGCAGGTTTTTGAATAGAAAGCTGTGAAAAGAAAAGGAGACGAGAAAAGTATAGAAAAGTAGGAACCCAAGATCGACCATCCAAAGTTCATTTTTGCTAGTGCCGTGCTAGGACAGTTGGGCAAAACTATAGATAGAATATCCTCTAGAACCATGAAAAGACTGAATGTTTAAAGGATGCTTGGAGTTGAGAATGTATTTGTGGTGTTCCCTGCCCCTTCCTCCACATCTTCCCATCCAAAGTTCATTCTTGGAGCTGTTTGAAAGCAAGCTTTAAAAGGAAAATGGCATTAAAAAGGTAGGAATCCAGGATCTTACCATCGAAAGTTGAAATTGCAGGTTTTTGAAAAGAAGCAACAAAAGGAAAATGGGATGAGACAAGAAGAAATCCACGATCTTACCATTCAAAGTTCAGTCTTGCAGGTTTTGGAATAGAAAGCCGTGAAAGGAAAAGGAGATGAGAAAAGTACAGAAAAGTAGGAATCCAAGATCGACCATCCAAAGTTCATTTGTGCTAGTACTGTGCTAGGACAGTTGGGCAAAACTATAGATAGAATATCCTCTAGAACCATGAAAAGACTGAATTTTTAAAGGATGTTTGGGATTAAGCATGTATTTGTGGTGCTCCCTGCCCCTTCCTCCACATCTACCCATCGAAAGTTCATTCTTGGAGCTGTTTGAAAGCAAACTTTAAAAGGAAACTGGCATCTAAAAAGTAGGAATCCAAGATCTTACCATCCAAAGTTGAAATTGCAGGTGTTTGAAAAGAAGCAACAAAAGGAAAATGGGATGAGAAAAGAAGAAATCCACGATCTTACCATTCAAAGTTCAGTCTTGCAGGTTTTTGAATAGAAAGCCGTGAAAGGAAAAGGAGATGAGAAAAGTATAGAAAAGTAGGAATCCAAGATCGACCATCCAAAGTTCATTTTGTGCTAGTACTGTGCTAGGACAGTTGGGCAAAACTATAGATAGAATATCCTCTAGAACCATGAAAAGACTGAATTATTAAAGGATGTTTGGGATTAAGCATGTATTTGTGGTGCTCCCTGCCCCTTCCTCCACATCTACCCATCCAAAGTTCATTCTTGGAGCTGTTTGAAAGCACACTTTAAAAGGAAAATGGCATCTAAAAAGTAGGAATCCAAGATCTTACCATCCAAAGTTGAAATTGCAGGTTTTTGAAAAGAAGCAACAAAAAGAAAATGGGATGAGAAAAGAAGGAATCCACGATCTTACCATTTAAAGTTCAGTCTTGCAGGTTTTTGAATAGAAAGCCGTGAAAGGAAAAGGAGATGAGAAAAGTATAGAAAAGTAGGAATCCAAGATCGACCATCCAAAGTTCATTTTGTGCTAGTACTGTGCTAGGACAGTTGGGCAAAACTATAGATAGAATATCCTCTAGAACCATGAAAAGACTGAATTTTTAAAGGATGTTTGGGATTAAGATTAAGCATGTATTGATGGTGCTCCCTGCCCCTTCCTCCACATCTACCCATCCAAAGTTCATTCTTGGAGCTGTTTGAAAGCAAGCTTTAAAAGGAAAATGACATCTAAAAAGTAGGAATCCAAGATCTTACCATCCAAAGTTGAAATTGCAGGTTTTTGAAAAGAAGCAACAAAAGGAAAATGGGATGAGAAAAGAAGGAGTCCACGATCTTACCATTTAAAGTTCAGTCTTGTAGGTTTTTGAAAAGAAAACTGTGAAAGGAAAAGGAGATGAGAAAAGTATAGAAAAGTAGGAAGGAATCCAAGATCGAGCATCCAAAGTTCGGAAAACTGTGTTTGAAAGGAAGAGTGCATGAGAAAAGTAGGAATAGCTGATCTTACCATCCAAAGTTCATTCTCGCAGCTGTTTGAAAAGGAAACTTGGAAGGAAAATGGAAGGAAACAAATTGGAATGCACGATCTTACCATCCAAAGTTCATAATTGAAGGTTTTTGAATGGAAAACTGTGACAGGAAAAGGACATGAGAAAAGCAGGAATCAAACTTTGAAAGGAACATGGCATGAGAAAAGCTGGAATCCACGATCTTACCATCCCAAGTTCACAATTACAGATTTTTGAAGGGAAAAGTGTGAAAGGAAAAGGAAATGAAAAAAGTAGGAATCTACGTCTACGATCTTACCATCCAAAGTTCATTTTTGCAGCTGTTTGAAAAGGAAACTTTGAAAGAACAAATTGAAATTAGAAGGTTTTGAAAAGGAAAGGAAAAAAATACATTTTGAGCATCCTGGAGTAGATTCTTGAATATTCTATCTAGGGGGTCCGAAGATATAGTTTAGTATTGGGTCAAAAAACCCTGGTTTTTTTCAAAAAAAAAACGCCCCCTACGATACGGGATTCTATCTACTCCAGGATTGTTATAACTATATATATATAACTATATATACAACTATATATATAACTATATATATATAACTATATATATAACTATATATATAACTATATATATAACTATATATAACTATATATATAACTATATATATATATAACTATATATAACTATATATAACTATATATATAACTATATATATATATATAACTATATATATAACTATATATATAACTATATATATAACTATATATAACTATATATAACTATATATAACTATATATAACTATATATAACTATATATAACTATATATAACTATATATAACTATATATATTATATAACTCTATATATATAACTATATCTAACTTTATATATAATATAATATATATATATATATTATATGTATGTAAGATTGTAAGTATATACATATAGCCCTATTTTACCTGTACTCAGTTCTTCATCGACCATTCACTGCTTGCTTCCCCCAGTTTTCCTCAGGTTGGCCCCTGGGCACCTCTGGATACTTCGCACATGACCTGGCTCAGTGGCTTTAGAGGTCAGCCGGATGTCAACCAATCCTGAAGAAATCCCTCACCACATAGAATGAAGTAATGAAGATATATGAAGATGATGAAGGTAAAATATGTTAAATCAAATTTAACTTACTTCATTGTCATGCTTCCAGGATGAACTATCTTCTGGGTATGATGATGTCAAGTTGTGTTCCCAGGTACATCAGATTCAAATTCAACGAGCTTAGATGAAGCTGAAGCGATATGGAGGTTTCCTGAAATGGGGGTACCCCCAAATCATCCGTTTTAATAGGCTTTTCCACTATAAACAATCCATTTGTGGGTACCACCATTTATGGAAACCTCCATATTCCATTCACGCCGCCGCCGGCTTTTCATGTCATCCCAGCCTCTGCGATTTCGGGGCAATGCGATGCCCACCGCTATGGCCCCAGCAACATGAGCAGCATGTAGCCGTCTACCCTGCGAAGGGGCGCAGCAAAATTTCAGATGTACTGATTGATCAACAAAGATTCCCAGAATGGACAGTGATAATCCCCAATATACATCAATGTACTGGATATATAATATAATCTCCTATAATCATCTGGTCTGTAATCATCAACCAACAGGGGTTTTGAGTACTGCTCAGATATGTTTTTTTTTTTAAGTCTTTGATATTCTTCCATAGCCATGTCCTCAACTGGGCCACATTGTACAAAAACGGTCAAAGACAACTCTCCTCTTACCATTCCAAGTGTAAAGCTTGGAAACTGCAGCTTTGCCCGGAGGCGATGCAGGGTAAAGTCAAGTAACTGCAACATCATCTGGTAGAATCCCATGGATTCCCTTAAAATTTCCGTGACTGTGACCCAACGAATCCCTACAGTGAGGATCCATGTCATCCTTTCAGCCAAATTATCGCACTTTTCGGACCCATCACGGAGCGTCGGCGTTTACGGTCTCTGCTCAGTGTTCTGCAACAACCAAGCTGTGCTAATGTGATTTGGTCAACAAATGGTCAATACTTCGGATTGGACCATCGGGGGTATGAACGACGGCGACAAGATACTGCGAATGTTGAGCACACTGCCTAACTCAAAGCCTCTTTCTCCGCAGCCTTCGATTTCCAAATCTTCTGGATATGTACCATGTAAACATTTCTTGGAGGATCAGAGGTACAGCGCTGTTTTTACCTCCAATAAGGCTATCATAAGGCTGTGAAATGGATAAACTGTAACCAGTGTAAACTCGAGCTTATTTTACATTGGGCCATTGCTCTCGCACCAAGTTGACCCCAACCCTAAAAAAATCTGAGTTTGGTAGCTGTAAGGGGTCAACGTCACGGTTTCAAAACACATCTCCCATCAAAATTCAGAAATATGGGGTTGTTTAAGCCCAAACTATCCAAAATCCATCAACAACCTTTCCATATGCCCATCAACATGTTGTGGAGCTCGGGGTATCAAATATAATGTCAACCCTGGATTAATAAACCCCTAGGTTGTTTAGGGGGATCCCATTTAAGTATCAGATTATTACTATTTGGGCAGTACCCCCCTAATAAATAAACCATGGTTTATTAATCCGGGGTTGACATTATAAACCCATGGAAATAGCCAAACTCATCATTCTTACCTATATTCAATGCATATTACAGATATGTGTATATGTATAACATATATATATATATCTATACAAAACACCAGGACAAAAGTTGTTCTTCTTGACTAGCTGCTGCAACCCTCTCCCCTTAGACTCCTGACAGGTTTCACATGAATCACATGGCGGATCGCGGATCAGCTGGTTTGCTTTGAAAGAGTTTGATTTATTGCGACTTTAAATACGATCCGCCACGCAGGCCACGCGAAATGAGGATTATTGATCCGCGGCTGATGATCATGATCTTCCTCCTGATGTATGTAGATATATATATATATGTATGATGTATGTATGTATATATGTATGATGTATATATATATATATGTATATATATATATACATATATATATATATATGTATATGTATATCATTTATATATATATATATATATATGTATGTATATCATATATATATATATACATATATAGAGTATTATTTCACTACTATATATCTTTATACATCATAATTGACCCATTTTTCCCAGCTTCTATGTAGAAATGATGGCCATTCTTGGCAGGGAAGGCCACGGATGGTCCACGGCCAACGCCGGCCGCCAGGCCTCGGTAAAGTCTTCACAATCTGCGATCTGCTGAATCCATCTGAATCCCAAAGGTCTTCAGTTCGGCTGCTAAAATGGAGGTACTGAGGTACTGTACCATATTTCTGGCATTTTCTGGCCATATTTTGTGAAGATATTCCCTGAAATTTAGGCCTGAAAAATAGGCCTTATTAATAAGGTAGGTACCTCCAATTTAGGATCCTGAAATTCCCATTGATGGTTTGGGGGTCTCCGCGGTCTCCGAGTATAGCACTGAGAGTCGCACTGGTCATGAAACAGCGCCACACGCTGAGAGTCGCCAAGATATGGAGAGCCACGAGGAGCCAGAGGCTCTACCCGCATCACTCGTTACAACTTCGTGTCTGTTGGTTTCAGGGGCTTGTCATGTTGTGTGGTTAAATCAATGGAAATCCACCATGCTCTTCCTTCTACCAGAAAGACTTGGTCAAATAATGTCACTATTGAAATTTGCATAAATCTATATGTGCATGAATTTTCCTGTAGTTTTAACCTTTACTGCTTGGAATGGCAAATGTGTCGTGGTGTAGAGGTAAACTGGAATGGTAATCGCTGGTCGATGTTGTCTGGTGTCTTTGTTGGTTCGCACTTCGAAGCAGAGACATATTGGTTTGATTGAAATGGGGTACGCCAAAAATCCGCTGTTTTATTTATCATCAAGTTTCCCATTCATTCAAAATCACCATTCCCCATTTTATCAGACGATTACCATGAAACGCCCATATTGTTGATGAAATCCCCACAATTTTTGACTAACCGATCCAAATTTATACACTATACTTAGCACATCTGCATACCCTCCACATCTGGCGGTTTTTCAGTCTGCCACCACAGGCAGTCACCGATCGGCCGGCTTTTCAGGAGCCAAAGCTTCCAAATACACCTAGCATCAGATGGATATTGCCCGCTAAAAAAAACAACAACTATATAGTAACCATTAATGATGGGGGGTATGATCCTGCAGGACGCATGAGTTTGTCTGAAAATGCAGGGGTGCATGCCATAAAGTGGGCATGAAACAAAGGAGAAAATAAGATTTAGACAATCGATGGTATGGAGTACCCTATTTTCAAGCAAACCCAGTTGGATCAGATGCAGATGTGAATCTAGCTCTGTCTATCTCTGCCTGTCTCGATCCATCTATCCGTCTATTGGTTTGTCTCTGTCTCTAGCCTCTGTCTCTCTGTATGTCCGTCAGTCTGCATGTCCGCCTTTATCTACATCTTTGGTCTATAGGCATTCATTTTCTAACCGGAGTTTGTCTGAAAATAGGCTACCCAAAAATTTGATGATTAATGATCATTTTACATATGGTTATACCGTTATACCGTTATACCGTTATACCGTTATACCGTTATACCTCTCATGTCTGGGGAAACCCTTATCTCTTCATTACTGCAGCAACCCTCCGCCTGCGACTCGCGCAGAGTCGCAAAGCCAAGCAAGTTATCCTCAGCACAATAAAGTGGAGGAGTACAACACTGCACCATCAGCTCATCAAAGTGATAAGGTTAATCATGATTTCAAAAAACAGCAAATACACAATGATAAATGTTATAACATCACTGTTCTATCCTTCTTTTTCTGGCCACCCTGTGTTTGTCAAAGGACATGAAAGTTCGAAAACTTCCGAATTACGGACGATGGTCATGGTCAGCATTCACACCATCACGTCAACGACATCATCATGCCAACCTAATCATCATGTCAAACACATAGTTAGAAAGAGCAGTTCGCATGGGTGAGTAGTAGACCCATCCATCAGTCCATCCACCCATCCTTAAGTTCATTCATTCATTCATTCATTCATTTCATTTCATTCCATTTCATTTCATTTCATTTCATTCATTCATTCATTCACTGCTTCATGCCATTTATTCAATGATTGATTTACTGACTCACTGAACCATTGGTTCATTGATTCGCTGATTAAATGATTGGTTTACTGATTCACTGAATCATTGGTTCATTGATTCATTGATTCGTTGACTCACTGGTTCATTGATTCACTGGCTCATTGATTCATTGACTTGTGATTCATTGATTCATTGATGTGTTGGGTCATTGATTCATTGCTTCGATGCTTCATTGAATCATTGACACATTGCTTTATTGATTCATCAACCCACTACTTTCATCATTCAGTGATTCATTGGTTCATTGCTTCATTGGTTCACTGATTCCTTGGTGCAGTGAGTGATTGATTGATTGATTGACTGATTGATTGATTGGTTGATTGATTGATTGGTTCATCGTCTGATCCATTGATTCACTGATTCGTTCCTTCATCCATTCATTGGTTCATTGGTTCCTTGGTTCGTCGATTCATTGGTTAATTGATTTATTCAGTCAGTTGTGCATGGATTCTTTCATGTCATATTTCATTGGCATCTCAACAAACATTTGCTCATTCGTTGATGCACCTCACAACTTCAACACTTCGTTGCTTCTGCATCTCAAATACTTTCCTATAGGCCTTCTTCGTATAGTGGTTTCAAATCTTCGAAACTTCCGCCCCGGGATGGGCACTATCTGGTATGAATTCTATCTGACATGGTGAATATGCACTGGAAAAGGGAATATCGGCCAACAATTCGTCAATCATCAAAGAATATGCAACAAGACCATCCCACAGTTCGTACGAGGCTTAAAGATATTGAAAAATGTGGCATAGAAGAATGCACCACATCTGTATGTGTACTGTTGGGAAGTCAAATCTTAGCAACTTGATTCACTCACGCGGAAGGGTCAAGCAAAACGGAAGGAAGCATTGCATTCGAACACATTTGCTGAATTCTGAAAATCACCCTCCCTCCAACTAAGATATAACGCGCCACATGCATCCATCTGTCAAATAGTGGAGTGGAAGATTGGTTTCCCGGGTCCTTCTCGGTTCGTACTCGCACACGGACAAGGCCTGGCCATGACCCGGAAAGGTCCCGGCTGTTGAGCAGAACATGCATTTTCTCCGATCCATATCCATTTATCTATCTATCTACCTACCTACCTACCTATCTATCTATCTATCTATCTATTTACCTATCTATCTATCTATCTATCTATCTATCTATCTATCTATCTATCTATCTATTTACCTATCTATCTATCTATCTATCTAGCTATCTAGCTATCTAGTTATCTAGCTATCTAGCTATCTAGCTATCTAGCTATCTAGCTATCTAGCTATCTAGCTATCTAGCTATCTAGCTATCTAGCTAGCTAGCTAGCTATCTATCTATCTATCTAATTATCTAATCTATCTATGTGTATATATATATATATACACCAATACATATACACAATTCTAATCAATTATTACATATATGATATGGTAAGTTTAAGAATACAAGAATGACCGATTAACCTGCCGAACCAAGATTTCAGTAGAATTTCCAAAATTGAAAATCCATGAAAATCCAACATACCACCCGAATTTATCTCTCTCAGAAACCTGAACAACTGAACAACACAAACACCCAGCCATCAGTTGAATGTTGCCACACTTGATCTTGACTCGAGTCCAATCAAAGCAACTCTCGCGTGATTTTGATTTCATTTCAATGCTTGGATCTTGATGAATATGGGTCCAAACCCATGGGGCCATAGGGCTGTGGAATGAACGGGGGCTCACATGGGATGAGACATGCCCATGGGACTTACCCCGCGGGATTGGATGACTGGTCGGGACATGTCGGGACCATATTCCAAACAGGAATCGAAAAGGGGCAAGTTACGACATTTACCCCCACTTTTGGTCACTTAAAAACCATCTTCCATTGGATTTACATGGATTTACCAGAACCCCCTTTTGAAAACACTGGTTTTAGTATTGGAACGTGCTGGATCTAGTATGATCTGTTCATATGTGATATTAACCAAAATCAATTTCCCATTGAATCCCCATTAACCATTCATATGGCAGTGTGTCAAAACCTTGTACCCCTGGTGAACATCAAAATAGCTGGTAAATGGATGTTCATCCCCCTAAAAATGGTATTAATAGGTATTGACCCAACCCCATATCACCATAAACTACCCTCCAGTGTCATCAAACATGGTTTGCCGGAAAAAAAAGCATTGAGTTCGATGATTTTCCCAGCTAAACCCATTTATATCCCATCATTAAATCCACATTAAATCAATAATTTTGAACATTAATTCATATCCCACCAAATCCATATCAACATCTATTGACCCTTCATATCTCATCAAGTATCACAACATCCATTAACCATTGATATCCCATGACATCCCGGGGAAGGGATCACCAAGTGCCTGAAGCTTCGTCGTAGCTGGGCAATTCCAAGGCCTCCACCATTTCGCCGGAGACCAGTTGTCCTCGATGAGGATAGCGATTAGTTGAGTTAACAATTATTACTGGTTAGTTGAGTTACCAGAGGGTAATTCCATTATTAACCATTATTAACATTTATTAAGCATTATTAACCACAATTAGATACAATTATTAACCATAACTGGTTAGTGGTTGACCTACCCCTCTGCAAAATATAGGTTCGTCAATGGGAAGGATGACATCCCAGATATGAAATGGACAATAAAAAAATGTAACCACCAACCAGTTGATGTTGATAAGTCAATACTATACCCTATGGATCCACTTTTCGTGATTTAATGGATAGTGATGTTTATTGATGCTGATAATATTGTACCCTATGATACCTTATGGATCCAAAATACTTGCTGAGAATGTAATTAACACCCCCAAATCATGAACCAAATACTCCCTCAGATGGTACTTGGATCCATAGGGACCATTTGTATTGAATAATGACATTTATATGTGGCGAGGATATACATACATACATACATACATACATACATACATACATACATACATACATACATTACATACATACATACATACATACATACATACATACATACATACATACATACATACATACATACATACATACATACATACATACATACATACATACATACATACATACATACATACATACAACATTACATACATTACATACATTACATACATTACATACATTACTTACATTACATACATTACATACATTACATACATTACATACATTACATACATTACATACATTACATACATTACATGACATTACATACATTACATGACATTACATACATTACATACATTACATACATTACATACATTACATACATTACATACATTACATACATTACATACATTACATACATTACATACATTACTACATTACATACATTACATACATTACATACATTACATACATTACATACATTACATACATTACATACATTACATACATTACATAC